TTAGCATGTATTGTGCTTTTCAGCTATGTGGTATCAGAAAAAATGCCTGAAAAAAATCATATGCCAAGCCAGTGATTTAAGGGAGAATCAGACCATTATGATTTCCTTGGAAGTGCATCACTTAGAACACTTAAGATTTTGCATATGTTTTCACTAACTTTCCAGTGCGTTGCAGTTCTGGTCCAGAGTGCCCTCCAGGTTGTTCTGGGTCCCCGTGGGCTGCAGTCCCATTTGGCACTCCTGGGATCTTACGCTTCTCCTACCAGAAGGAAAAGATACTTCTCATGGGTCTTGGCAAACAAAACATAATTTTAGCACAGGAAACAGGCTTTGAGAGTTGAAAGACTAAACATGTAAATTTTTTTATAAGATACATCAACATAACCACTTCATAAGTTGTAGAAGAGTTATACAACAGGAAATAGGTAGAAGGAATTGTGGTCTAAGAAATTTAAAGAATCGATCACACAAAATTCTGTATCAGAAAACATTTTAAAGAGTAGCAAGTCAGGCTGCTTTGATCAATTCTTGCAATAAGCTTAGAACAAAAATAAACCATGGCTGTTCAGAATAATTAAAGATGCTCATGACCCCTGAATTTAAGATCTTTAGATACAACTATCTGTCTTTATTCAGGAGAGGACTAGTATTGAACTACACAAAATGTCATCACTATACTATATGCTTGCAAGACAGGAGCTCTCTTAAAGCATATTAACAACAACAAAAAAAGGCCATGCAAAATGTCTATATAGTGACTCAGCTAAATGCTAAATTAACGAGACTTAATTCCACCTAGCAAAAATTCATCACAATGTTTAAAAGTGTCTAAATTTTACAGTATACAAACCTGAGAGGGAACATTTTTAGGTGGTTCTATTCGAATTGTTGGGTCCCACTCTCCAGGAGGAAGAACAGTAACCTGATCAAGAAACTCATCGATCCCAGAGACCAAGTCATTGCGGTCTTTTGCTTTGTAAGCAACATCATGGAACACCTGTGAAAAACGGAGAAGTGTATGTGGGAGGAAGAAGAGATGGGGAAAGGAATACTCTCATAATATTTTTTCATGATGGTCCCTATACTCTGAAATAGAACACACTTGATGCAGTTCCCACCAAACAGTCTCAGCTTCAACTGACTAGAGCTTCTGATACACAGTTTTCACAGAAGTTCCAGCTGCTACAGAAAAACATCCTTACAGATGCTAAACATTCTAGAGATTTTACAGTTTAAAACACAATTAATTCAACTGGAAAGTAACTTTTTAAAATGGAATCTTCTCAGTGAAGATATCCTAGTATGTGAATATTGTTTCTCATTTTGTTATCTCCTTATGGCAGCATAATCTAGGCTGTTACAAGATAACGAAATGAACTAGAATGCTATTTGTGCATCATCAGAATGATTAGTTACACTTCAACTGGATGATTCCACACTGGAGACTCCCTATTACACCTCTTCAGTCAGTACAAAATTACTAAAACCAAGCCAGGAATAAGAATACCTCATCTGTCATTAGTGTTGCAATTGATCTTCCAATCTCATGGTATTGTTGCCCTTTACCCAGTGGTCCAAGAAGAATAAACAAAAATCTGCAAATAGAAAATAAATAAAAAATTGTAAAGGATAGATGGCTGAAAGTAACTACACAAACTACAGAAATACTTATTTAAAAATTGGACTAGAAGAACCTCTAAGACAAATATTATATATAATCTCCTTCAAGATCCTCACACATGCATTTAAACATGAAGCTCTGGTTAGAAAAAATGTGAAAATAACTTCCAAAAATATACCATAAGCTTCACAGTCAGACTTGATTGAGACTATCAAAACCTCCTTACATAATGAACCTTATCTTACATAATAAATATATGCAACTATAACTATGTACAGAACACATCAACATTAATTTATTTAACTCTGTTAATTGAACAGAATCAACTGTTTTATGGTAGTAGTATTGTTGCAATATTGGAGAAGTTAAATTATCCCTGAACAGAAATCATTTTTACATCATTCTTACTGCCATTAAGGTTCTAGACAGCCTCTACTCTAGACTTGGGGCTAGAAAGGTTCTATAAAAGGCAGAGGATAGGTTCAAATGAAATAACTGAAGTTTGGTGGGTTTTTTGTGGGAAGTTGGGGGCGGTTACAAGGAAAGGCGTCAAAAGGTTTTTTCAAAGCCAACTCAGTCCCTCAATGTCCTTTACACACATACAAAAATTAGAAAAGACAAAAAGGTCATATCCAAAGTAACTACAACTTAAAGAAAATTTTATACTGTTTATCTGACTAGGAGCAAGGATCTGAGTCTCAGCATTGCATTTCATAGCATAACACTCCAGCCTATCACAAACAAATAGAATATACTACTGCCTTCTGTCAGAATTCTACTTTTATAGAAACTAAAAGAGGGAAGGGGAAAGAGAGACAGAATCTGTGTAGAAACATATGCACAGATACTAAAAAAAGCGAGGGACTGCAATAATAGTTAAGTCAGTGAACTCAGATATGGGAGAATCACTTTGGAGCTTTGATCTAAATCAACCCCAGCAGGAAGTAATATATCTGCAGATCTATTTAAATGCTTTCGATTTGACTACAAACTCTATTTTAGATGTTTTTTAAAAAGTCTGCATAATTTGTTCTCAGAACCAAAGTACTTCACAAGAAGAAGTTTCAACTTAGAAAAAATTAATTTAATAAAAATGTATGGTTAAAAGACATGTTCACTACCATGCAAGTATCTACAAAGTAACTTTTACGAGAGCATGGTATTTACAGCACGTTCGTCATCCATTCACTATCCCTAGTCAATCAAATCACATAGTTTGTTTTTTCCCCTTACTCAATTCCTTCTTCATTTTTTTTCTTCTGGACATAATTCAGCTATTCTAAGAAACTGAATATTTCACCTTAGTATTTCATCTGCAGTATTACCAGTTTGCATAGAATAAACTGTGTGTTGTAACCTAACAAGCTCTCTTTTCTACTTCTGCAAAGAACGACTATCTGCACACACAAACGGTGTTTTTCTGAATATACCCGTACATCATGTAAAGGAGTGGACTGATGTCTCTAAAACATGTCTTTCTTAAAGAAAGAACCAAATCCATAACTGAATAAATGACAAAGTTGAAAGTCACATCACCCTGTCTCCACAAGGTACTCAGAAAAACATGAAGAGAAATAAATCCAACTGTACCTTGTTGGAATCGGAACTTCAGCTAGTCCCGTAAGCAGCACTGCAGGAGATAACCTAACAAAAGCAACAACTGCACGGTCCAGGAACTCCAATTCACCAACTAAGATGTTTGATGCTTCAGCTCCAGGTGGTATCTTTTTCATAAAGTGTAGGTCAACCTGGAAAAAGTATATTAAATTACAATCTAAAAGCTATTCACACAGATTTTTCCCCATTTTTTTGACAGAGACTTTCTTGTCACTGCACTATAATCTTAGTTACTGTAATTATAGAGTTTCTACTATTCTTGTCTGCTGAATGATTTTTTTAAATAAAAATATTTCCCAAAACCAAATAGCTGGTCTTTCATTATTTGACTAATTTTTCTTGGAAACATAATTAAAGTAATGCAGAATTAATTTATAAAGACAACAAATCACATTCAAAATCTTGTTAAGAATACGGTATTAATTTCCTTTAATACATTTTATCAATAATTCATCACAGCATCAATAATTTATAACAGCAGAAGAAATGAGACACCTTATTTTTCCATAATTAACAATTCTAGAAATCATTGTGCTGGTTTTGGCTGCGATAGAGTTATTTTTCTTCATAGTAGCTAGTATGGGGCTGTGGTTTGGATTTGTGCTGAAAACAGTGTTGATAATACAAAGATGGTTTAGTTACTGTTGAGCAGTGCTTACACAGAGTCAAGGGCTTTTCTACTTCTCACAGCACCCCACCAGTGAGTAGGCTGGGGATGCACAAGAAGTTGGGAGGGGACACAGCTGGGACAGCTGACCTCAACTGACCAAAGAGACATTCCATACCATATGATGTCATGCTCAGCATACAAAGTTGGGGGAAGAGGAAGTAAGGGGAGGACATTCTGAGTGATGGCATTTGTCTTCCCAAGTAACCATTACGTGCAATGGAGCCCTGCTTTCCTGGAGATCGCTGAACACCTGCCTGCCGATGGGAAGCAGTGAATGAATTCCTTGTTTTGCTTTGCTTGTGTCCACAGCTCTTGCTTTAGTTATTAAACTGTCTTTATCTCAACCCACGAGTTTGCCCACTTCCACTCTTC